CCCGGGCCGAGGCGAGGAGGTCCCTCACGCCGGGGAGGGCGAGGAAGAAGAATATGAGAAACCTCAATTTTAATGAGAAATATCAAGTCGTCCCAAAAGCTGCACTTGTGCATCATCTCCTGTCATTTTATCTAGGCTCTGAGGGTGTCCTCTTGCTGCAAAACCCTCTGAAACCCATCCCTTCAGGTGGGACTGACAGCCGTTTTGGAGCTACACCGCATGACAGCTTTGGAGAGCTGGGGTGAGTTGCATTGAGCAAACAGGCCAGCAAGATGTAAACCTAGGAGTAGAAGTTCCTGAGCATGGTAAAGTCAACAACCATGCAATGACTGTCCAAGATGCCTTGAGTCTCAGCAGGTGGCACAAGATGCAGTACATAAAACAACAGTGTTCCTATGAGGAACCTTTGAAAGCAAAATGAATTATCCCAGATATTTTGGTTTTATTCACTGCCACATCAAAGTTGAATAAATCCAAGCAGAGTAATGAGGCATGGGTTTGGGGTTTTTTTTGTAGAATTGGTGCTGATATTGTTCCCACCAATTTGCCAAGCAGGCATAAAACTCAGTGTGCCTTAGTGTCCTAGATAATTCAAGATCTGGTTCTAACTTTTAGTTATTTTTAAAAGGCTGTGCAAAATGTACCAAGACCCCAATAGACATGCTATTTCTTTGAGGACTTTCAACTCTAGTTGTTTGTTTTTGGCCAGATTACATTATTTGCTAGCCCGCACTTAGTGTCTCACTTGAAATCCCTCAGAAGTCTTGGATGCAGAACAACTGGACCTAGTCTTAATTTTTTTCTGATAGTGCTGGTCTTTCTTATTAAAAAAAATTAAATTGGAATTAAAGAACCTCTTCCCATTCCTTTTCGGGGAGTCAGATGCAAAGGAATTTGTATACTTTGTACTTTATTTGCCTTCTTTTACTGCTCTCCTCTGCCAAAAGGGAATCCACTGGATTTCCTGTGTTTTTGTCAAGCTTTCTGCTTCTGGTACATTGGAAATATTTATCTGAGTTTTGCACCTGTAGCTGTATCTCTGTGGAAAAGCATTAGGTTTCTTTTCTTTGTATGACATTTGCTTTTTTTTCTGCTCCTTCTTATTGACTTCACCTGGGACAGACTTCCAGATTTATTTGCTTTGCTGTGCAGACTCCTGGTCCTTCCACTGCAGCTGTGCTGATTTGCCTTGTGCCATCTCGATTCTCTCAGTGTTCAGAAACATTTTCTTGCTTCCTAGTGTTGCACTGACCCATTCTTTACCCTTCAGCATTTGGGAAGTGAAGCTTCCTGTGGCCACAGACGGTTATTTCTGCACTGGTGGCAGCTGGCTTTTGAGCATTTGTCCTTGAGGTCTGTCAAACAAAACAGCTCAACGGCCACACTTGTCGCTTTTGTTGGTGTCTGTATTTTGTCAGTAATGCTCATCTGTGTGAAGGGCTCTGCTGCTTACAAAAGCAAGATTGCAACATCTGTGAAGGTTCAGATACCATTCTCAGCACCTCAGAGATGGTGGAATTTGTATTTGCTCAGGGAAGTGATGGAGTCACCATCCCTGGAGGTGTTCAAAAACAGCACTTCAGGACATGGTTTAGTGGACATGGTGGTGTTGGGTTGACGGTTGGACTTGATGATCATAGGGGTATTTTCAAACCTTAGTAATGCTATGATTCTATTATTTATATTTAAACACAACCATGTATGAGGCCTTGTAGCCTTTGTAGATGGTGTCACCCTAACCTATGTGCATTATGCACCTCAGCCACCATTGACCGCTCTATTACAAAGAAAGTAGTTTCAAGACCTGGTACAGGTATTACAATAATTATGGAGCTGCCTACTGCATGGCAAGCTCTTGTAGTGTAACTGTACATAATTGCATTAATGCCTCTGCTCAGACTAACTCCAGGTATCATCAGTTCTTGGTGAAGAGTCATGAAGCAGTGCTCAGCTTGTGTTTTGCATCTTCAAACAGCCCACACCTTCTCCTTGCCCTCTTGGAGATGCAGGGCTAACCACAGCAATGGACTGACCCCGCATGGGTGTGTGTGGGACAGCTCTGCTCTGCACCTGAGACTGGCCCCGGGGTGGGAAGCAAGGTGAAGGACGACAATTAAGCTACTAGCTGTCATCGGAGGTCCCTGAAGTATCTGAATTGAGACATGAGTGTTCAAGGAGGTAAGCAGCAAGAAGGCTTTGGATCACAGGATTACCTGTGTGCCAGGATCACCTAGTGTAGGTGATCCTGCTCTGGCAGGGGGGTTGGACTAGATGACCTTTTGAGGTCCCTTCCAACTCCTAACATTCTGTGATTCTGTGAAGGCCAAGTGTGTAGATCATTGAATCATAGAATCACAGAATGGTTTGGGTTGGAAGGAACCTTAAAGCTCATCCAGTCCAAACCCCCTGCCATGGGCAGGGACACTTCCCACCAGACCAGGTGACATGGAGTTATTAAATTTGTCAGGACATGAGAGAATGATAGGAGCTTTGGAGACACATAAGAAAGCTGTGCTCATCAGCAACAGGAAGGCAAATTAAATTCAACATCACTGTTCCCAAAATCATGTAGCTGGAGGGAAAATGTAAACTGCACAAATACTTCTAGGTTTTGGCTTACTGTAACTGTACCAGGTCAGGCAAGATCCCTCGGGCATCATGACAGACGTTTCACTGAGGATGCAGTGAACAGCTTGGTACAAGCTCAGTGCTGTTTAGTGGGTAAGGACAGCTGAAAAGCAGACAAGACATCGGGAGCCACTAAGGGTAGAATGGAAGTAATGCAAAAAAAGGCACTGTGCCTCCATGTAAGCCAATGCTGCTCCTCTACTGGGCTGCTGCCTCCTCTTCCAGGACAAAGGATCTCTGAGGAGAGTTGACCATGCATAGAGATAGACCTGGGAGAAAGTCCCAAAAATCTGGGATTTGTAGGGCAATGAGTCAGGAGGGGATAGGGAAATAAGAAAAAAAGGGATGTGATAAGAGGATGTAGAATGATGACTGAGAGGCGATAGATTGGGAGTCTCTTTTTCCAGCCTTTGTGACAGGAGAAAAGAAAACAAATGATGAAAGTGGAAAGCTTTGAATTCAAAACTGATAAAGAGAAAGCATTTTCACCCAGTGAACAAGCAGACCCGAGGACTGATTGCCAGAGGAAGTCAGAGAGTACAGGAAAACAGCAAGGTTTAAAGACAGACTGGACACACATTTGAGCAATGAGAACAAGCAGGCTGGTAACAGGCAATGCTAAAAGTATTACAGGAGGAGAGAGCATCCCGTTGTGCATGAGAAGAGAGAGCAAACCACTGTCAGGCACTGAGTCTGCTGAATATTGGATTGCTCCTTTTCTCTATAATCTCCAAAGTACATGGCAGAGAGAGGAGTCTGAGCCAGACAGATCACTCCCAAATTGATAAAACTGCACCATTATAATTTGCCTATGAAGATTCCCTGTATGAGGCTGGACTGTCCTTCCTTATGTTGCTTCAGTTTCAGTGTCTGTCTGAAGCTGCGTGAGACAGTTGAAGCAGACAAGTCTATCTTACACCTCTGCTTGCATTTCTCTAGGACTTACTGGAGAAATTGGTATCATTTTCAGTAAAATACATGGCTAGCTGAGTAGTTAGAGAGCTATGGAGTCCAGGCGTGCTCCCTAGGGTGGTCTAGTTGGGCTTTGTGGGTGTTGCAGTCTGAGGACCCCAGACTGCATTAGCTTTGTGCCTGAAGCTCTTGGAGGAAAGGTGAAGGCCATGCTCCAAGAAGGCCTCTTCATGTTCCTACTGAAATAATGAAAAGCCAGCCTGGTAGTGAAGCCCTCTGCTCAGGTCAAGAGAATCTCCCTTCCTAAACACTGAGACCTTCACTTTTGTGCCACTAACTCCTTGCTTGAGCAGCCACAGCCCAGCCACCCATATGGGAGAAACTACATGTGTGACTCTCCTTACTAGTGAGGTTTTCTTCTGAGGTGGCATGCAATGACTGCAGGACCACAGTCTTGGGACAGTAGGTGAAAAGCACTCCGTAACTAGATGAAACCTAAAAACTTTGAGGGTCATGAGAGATGTGATCTGGAGGACTCATGATTACATTAGTAAGTACATCCTTAGCTGGAGGAAAGTGACAGAGAGCCCTAACATCAATGGGAGATCTATCAGGAAAATATGAGGGCTGAGAGAAAGAATAAATGAATGAATGAACAGAGAGAGCCAGACAGGAAAAAATAAAAGACTCTGAAGCACAGCAAAAAGGACAGACTGAACCTGTGATTCTTTTCTAGTGGCATTTAATTTCTCCTTCCCCACAGTCAAAATGTCAGAAATGAACAGGCAACTTCAGTAAAACAGAACTGAAAGAGAAAGACGGCAGCAAAGTCCTTAGAAGCTGCTTCACACAGGCAGAAGTACACCTGGCACCATCGATAGGCACGGTTCTCCACAAGCACACACAGGGCCCAGAGGGATATTTGTCAGACAGGTTTATTTTAGGTTCTAAAATGAATTTCTAATAAAATAAAATGCTCAAAATGTGCAACATGTGCAGTCCTCCCCAGGGTCCCCTCTGCCACTGAATGAGTGCAAGAGCAGGGCAGTGCAGGAAGAAGAAGAAAGTGGGCAGAGGGAAGGAGACACCATCGGGCTGCAGGGGAGCTGGGTTTCAGCCATCTCCTAAATTTACCTGTCCCACCAGTAAGAGAGGCCATGAAGCAGTGGTGAAGGGTGGGAGGGAGAAGTGACACTGAAGCAGGCAATAGCTACTGGGTCAAATAGTTCCAGTAGCTCCAAAGCACCTGTGCTGCCTGCCACCTCACTGCAGCAGTGAGTCTCGTCTTGCTCCAGTGTGCAGCTTCCAGCCCCTTTGGAGGTACGGAGTTCCCATGGCCTCCTGCTATCTTCATGCCAGCCCTAGGTCCTCCTGAGAGGTCTGCGTGGTGCCCATCTCTCTGCAGCGCGGCATGCAGTTTCATTCTCCCACGCAGACTGGGCCCGGTGTCCCTGCTCCCATCAGCACTCAGTTTGCTGGATCTTTTCATTCTGGTTCTCCACCATCTTCTTCTTCCATGGCACAGGGACTGCAACCATCCCTTCCAGCGCTGGGAAGGCAGGAGTCCGTGCCTGAAAACACAGAAAGGGGCAATATCATGCATGGGAGGGAGTCTGAATGGCACAAGTTTTGGTTTCTCACTGCTGCGGAAGCCATGGTACTACTGCTAGCAACCACGAGGCTCCCATTCTCTCCCAGAGCCAGGGAAAAGCCCCAGTCCCATTCTCTGAGACATGCTGTTGCATTACCATCTTGGCAATAGTCAGGCTATCGTCAGGTTCAACGGTATGCCAGATTTTACCCCACCTTTTCACAGAAAATAGTTAAAGGCATGAAGGTCTGTGCAAAACAAGATAAGAACAAATTAGAGACAGAACCATTTTCACATCTTGCTTTAACAAGTGACTTTCTAGACAACAGAAAAGAGGTAGATCTCAGGGCTCCTGATAACGGTAAATTATCTGGTGACACACAGGCAATCAATACAGGGGAAAAAAAGATGAGATTAGCAAAAGAATGGTATGGCAAGTGTGATCTCAGCTAAGAGGAAGGGACTGGGATTTCACTGGCAGTTTTCTGTCAGACTGTAGAGAAATGATAAGCACAAGTCTTCAAAGATCAGTTCTGGCACCAATCACTAATGGCACAGAGTGCGTGAAGGTGCTAATGAGTTATGTAGCTGATAAAGTTGAGGAGCCTTATTTGGAAGAAAGAGGATGAAAATGTCACCCGAGACCCAGATATTGTAGGAGAATGGAGCAGTAAAGTGAATGACAGGGTGAATGTAATGTGACAGTGCCAATTGCACGTTGATAGGCTTGGGGGATCAGAACAGGAATCCCTAATCTGCTGGCAATAGCCCATCAAGAGACACCAGCCAGCAGCCAGTGTTCAACCAAGGCAAGAAGAGCAAATGTAATCTCAGAGAATGCCAGCAGAGAGGGGGAGAGACCAAGAGAAGAGCTGATGCCTTTGATCTACACGTCTCATCTGAGCTCTCACAAATTATGAGCCCGTGGGGGAGACTATGCAGAGAAGGGCAGGAGGACCATCAGTGGGTGGAGGATCTCTCCTGCAACAGAGGAGCTTTGCTTACTTGGCAAAGCAGACCTGTGGGGGCATGCACAAGTGCTTTGAGGCAGTAAGGACTCTGCTGGATTAGAGCTGTTTAAGCTAGCAAAGCTGGACACTCAGGTATCCTATCTCCTGCTAGCTGAGGGTTTACAGTTGCACTGTAAAGGGTTATTCATCCAAGGTTTTAGCCCAGGAAGGGTGGTTCTGATCATCTCGCCCTGGACTTGCACAGTCTAAAGAGTCATCCAGAAACTGTAGATCTCTGCTTTAGATTATCCTTTACCATCAGTGCTGATTAAGGACCAATGACAAAGAACCAGTCATGAGTCTCTCTAGTGCTACCCGCAGTGGTTGTTTTAAAATGTCCATCTTGCTTCTGTTCTGATGCTGCCTGTCTTCAGCCCCCAGCCACCAGGATTTGCTAAGAATTCGCATCAATGCTGTCACATCCCCCATCTCCAGCTCAAGACAGGTTCGAGGCACCCAGTTCTTTTGCCAGGGCAAGTTCTCCCAACCTGAGATTGCTCTGAACACCGGAACCCTCTGCACTAGAAGAGGATTTTCACTGTAGGCCCTTTCCAAGAAGCTGGGTGGAAGGCAACTACATCACAGCTACTCACGAAAGGTGTCCCTTGTCGCAAAGAGAAATACTGAAGGAAGAATTTGTCATGAAATACATTTGCAGAGAAACAGTATGAAAACTGCAGAGAAATGGTCTGACTTGTTTGCACAGTTGTTTTTCCAGTGGCATGCTGGGGAGGGATAAGCCCTGGCTTGGTCTTTGGGGTGATAACGGCAAGGCAGAGCTTTGAGAAGAGGAGATCCTGGCACAAGCTGAGCAAACAAAGGGCAGTGCTGCTGGAAGCAGACAGCCAAGGTGTGAGGGCTGAGCCAGTGACAACAGACCTGCATCGAGATCAGCGTCTGGGGACCAGCAGGCATTTATATGGAATAGGAGACTCTGACATCAAAGCATTCAGATAAGGAGTAAGAGAGAGGACACCTACAAAAGCCTGGAAATTAACCCTCCTCTATTACAGCGTGGCTTGAACTCTGGGAGAATGAACAAGAAGCTTTTCAAGGCTGGGCTGTGATTGCCCCCTAGGGGGGGTTTATCCCTCCTCTCAAGTGTCTGACCTGCCTCCCGACACATGCCATGGTTAGCCAGAGCTGCTGCTGCCCAGGATACAGCTTTCACTACATGTCCATGGCACCCTCAGCGGCTGCCTGGGCCTCATTCTTCCTCTGGCTGCTGTGTCCCTGAGATGTTTCACTGCTGTCTCTAAGGTACCCAGTGGAAAGTCAAATAAGGGGTGATGTACAGGGAAACTAACAGAAATGAGGTGGTGAACACTTACCCTTTTTTGTAGGGCCAGAGCCAGGACACAGACCATAAGCAGGAAGAAGAGGGTGAGCATGAGCCCAAAAGTAACCTGCCCACTGAAGATGGTGGGAGGGCTGGAGACCTGGGCACCTGTGAGGAGGAACCACAGTTAGGAAGGAGAGGAAGGTTGATTTTGTGCTGGGGCTGCACAAAAAGAGGCAAACTGGACACAGGTGCAGGGAACTGGAAGGAGGAACTGGTGAGAGCTAAGACAGGTTGACAAAAAGATGGAATCCAAGCAGTCAAAGGGGAGAAGGAAGGGGTGAGGCTGAGAGAAGAAAGGGCACTGGGGAAATGAAGAGGGCGAGAAGAAGGGATTGGGCACAGATCCATAGAAGACAGTACCTGTGATCTGCAGCCCATACTCCACTGCTCCCAGTCTGCCTTCTGGGCCATGCACACTGCATTCCCATGTGCCTGTATCCTTCTGTGACACTCGGGGTATTTCCAAGGTAGGGCCTGTCTGAGACCTGTGTCTCTCTGGGTTTCGGGAGGTGGTCGCAGCCAGCTTGCTGTTAGTGGGGCCTGAGTCAAGGTGCTTCCACTGGAAATGTTCGTGTCCCCAGGGGTGTGTGAGGCTGCAGATGAGCAACAAGCGAGACCCCTCCGAAACTGGTCCTTGGATGCTTGGGATGACTGCAGCAAAGGCAAAAAAAATACCCTCAGGAAAGACTACAGGCAGGTTCACATCTCTTCCCCATCCCTTCTTCTATTACATCCCTCCTTCATTATCTCCTCTAATTTATTTTCTTTGTCTTCCTCCTTCTTCAAGAATAATAAGCAAGTTACCCAGGAAAACCCGTGCTTTCAGCAGAGTCCCGTGAAGTGCAGTGCCCTGAACAGAGACCTTATTTCTCATCCTGGGGTGGGAACCTATGAGCAGAAGCAACCCACGCTCACGTGCAGAGAGGTTTATCTGCAAATAGTGAGGGACCCCAGAGGGGGATGCACCTCCCTGTCTCTCCTCTTACCTGTAACTACTGCCAAGGTCACGTCCCTGCTGATGGTTTTGCTGCCAACAGAGAGAGTACAGCGGTACTGCCCTGCATCCCCTGGCCCCACCACAGGGAGATGAAGGGGAAAGCTTCTGCTGCTCGAGTTTTGGGGGATGCCCCAGTCCTGCGAGTGTCCTCCTGTGAGGTGGCTCCAGCGAGCTGTCACCATGTTGATCTCAAAGGCACTGGGAAGGTAGCTCAGGGTGCATGGTAGCTCAGCTGCAGAGCCAGCTGCAGCATACACCATGGGGTTGCTTGGGCCATCAAAACCTGCATCAGAGAGAGAGAATGAATTGGGGGGGTGGCTGGAAAGACGACCACAGGGAGGTGGCTGCCTTGGGAAGTGAGGACAGGGTGAGAGCTGGAAAGCTTGAGCCACTAGGGTTGGTCAGTCACATCAAAGGGAGCAAGTTGGGGGTGCAGGAGCAGCAACGCAGAGGCTGAGCTCACCTAGGATTTGCAGGTTGTAGGTGGCAGAAATGACCTCGTTATCGGAGTATCTGAGCTGGCAGTGCCAGGCGCCCGCATCGCTCATGGCTGGCCGGAGGATGGAGAGAGCCCCTTGTGAGGAGCAGAAGGTGCCGGAGGTGGGGACCAGGTGCCCGCTGTGGAACCAGCATGTCTCCACGAGGCTGGCATGGTGGCTGGAGTTGCAGCTTAACAACAGGGGCTCATTTTCTACCACAGGGCTGGGTGGACTGAGGGTTACTGCAAGAAAAAGAAATGCAGGGCCTCTTAGGCCTCTGTGGACCTTAAATCAACTTTTTCCAGGGTTTCCATCTACTCTTACCTGTAACTACTCCCAGCTCCACCTGGCAGCTCTGGACATCCATGTTGTGTGTCACCTGTGCCTCATACATCCCAGCGTCCTCGCTCCGGACCGGGTTGATCCGCAGGGAGAAATTGCCGTTGCGCAGGGCAGAGTCCTGGACAGACACCCGGGGCCTCATGGGCAGTGCCGTTTTCCGTAGGCCAGAGTACTCCACCTCCAGCACCATGTGTGGCTCCTGGTGGGCACTGGAAGCGGGACAAGTGAGCATCTCGTGCCGGAGGCAAAGGAGAGATCAAGGGTAGGAGAAAGGGGGCTTAAAGTGTCTCCCACCCTCCCCAGTTGCCTCCATGAGGACACAGATGTGTCTTGGCCCTGGCATACCTTCCCCCATGCCGCTTCCACAGCACAGATGTCTTGTCGGGCAGCTGCCTCCAGCTGCTCCAAGTCTTCCTGGGGCTGAGGTAGCAAGGCAGCACGGCTGAACTCCCTGCTCTGGCCCACACCTTCTGCACCTTGCTTCCCCCCTCTGCTGCTCCTGGTAGGATGTGGCCAGCTGTAATGAGATGCCAAGCTGAGGAAAAAGGTGACACTCATGGAGGAGAAGATAATATCTAGCCATCTTCGGTGGGGTTAAAAGGGCACAAATTCTCCCTTCCAGCCCTGAGCTACTCTGTCCTCCCTGATGCATTCAGCCCTTCTTACCATTGAAAGCCAGCAGAGCGAAGGTGAGGAACAGCACCAGTGACACCAGCCTCATGGTGGCATCCAGAAGAGGCAAGGGGCTGCGTTTTCCCACTCAGGTTCGTGCTTGATCAGGTCAGAAGATTTAGGAGATCAGCAAAAATGAGGCAAGGGCAAAGATGTTAGAGTGGGTGGATGAACCAAGGCAGGGAGGGTCAGCTGGACGTGCTTGCTCGTGTGCTGTCTCTCCGTCTGTTCAAAGGATTTCCCTAGATGCCCTTATATTGCAGGTGGGCAGCTAATTTCCTCGTATCACTAAGAAGATGCGTCACGACCAAGAAACCAGTATAAGTCTGAGGCACGTGAAGGCAGGGCTGGAGCCAGTGAGCGAGAAGAGGGAGGGACCAGACACACTGCTCTAAGCATCTTTTAGTGGAAATTCTTTGGGTCGCTGTTGTTTTTCTTACAAGTTTCGCTTCTACATAGACAGTGGAAAAAGTGTAGAAGACACTTCCCAGCAAGTGCCCTTCATGTTTTTCTTTCATCTCTTACCTTTTTTGGTTTGATCTTTCCGCCTCTCACAGCTTCTCTCTAATTGTTTCAAGGCTTTTAAGAACGTGTTTGTCTTTTTTTTTCCCTGCTGTTCTTTTTTGTTGGGTTTTTTTGTGCTTTTTTTTCCCTCCCCTATCCTTCTTTAATGCCTCAAATATGTTGATTTTTTTGACTTTTTCTCATTGGCCAGTTCATGGGCAGGAAAGGGTCTATGGTGAGCTTCAACCAGGGCACATGTAACCCATCAATCCTGAGCCCATGCGCTATGTGGGACAAAGTTGAGGTGGCCTGAGGAGACGGAGAGGAGCATCCAGGAGAAGCAACCAGCACTGAGAAGAGGGGCTGCACACTGTGCCGCTGCGAGGGGTGTGAGAAAGGGAACCTCCTCCTCCAGCAGTGGGGGAAAACCCACCCAAGCTTGTGCATTTGGGCAGGGGGTCTCATCCTAGCTCACGTGTAGCTGCTGAGCTTTGCATAGGGCAATACATTTCCACCCGTGTGCCTC